TTATTTCATTTCCTTTCCCGGATGAGCGGAAAATTTACAGCGTTTAGTCCAGCGGAAATTGCAGGTCATGATTTGTAAAGCAATAAGTAAGCGTGGCGAAAAGTTCAAGTTTGTAAAAGCCACAGAATTTAACTCGATTTTTAGCAAAGATAAATTTCTTTTGCATGGTAATAGAATATAATTGCCTTAAATGTATTTCAACTAACTTTAATTTTAAAAGGGGACTTCTGGCATGCTCTTCAATGTGCATGCAACGACTTTGCCTCATTACCAATTTAAAATTTTATTCTATGGTAAATCCTATCTAAGTTGAAATCATTACTAATGTGGTTGGTATATGGTTTGAATGAAAACGCCCAATTATCTTCAGTTTCATTAAGACCTTGAAACTATTCTAAAAAAATGTTTCGTAGAAGAGTAATCTATAAGAAAATTTTGATTTTGCGAATTAACATAATGTTTACTAAACAATGGTTTGCATGGCGTGGTATAAAGGCTGATTTGCCTAACGTTTCGTCAGCGGCTGCCGTTGACACCATCAGAGGTGTAGAAGCTGGGGTCGGCGAAGTAGTTTTCTATCACGTAGTTCTCTTATCGGCTGGTTGCAGTAGAATGCTGTGAACATTACGAAGAAACCTACAAACATGGAAGAAAATTACTATTATTTATACAATGTAGAAATCTTCCCGAAGTGAGTTAGTTTTAATATGAAATATTCTCAATTTTTACCCACTACACACTACCTAAAATTAATGAGGAAAAATTGTTGCTGTTGTCACACCCCCGCCGGGAATCGAACCCGGGCTCTTTAGCTTTACGTGCCAATGCTCTGACCACTAACTTACGAGAGAGCTCATTAATTTGAAGTAGTGTGTAGTGGGTAAAAATTGAGAATATTTCATATTAAAATTAACTCACTTCGGGAAGATTTCTACATTGTATGTATATTTATATTCAGTATATAGTTACATTATTTCGACGGATCTGTGACCTAATAAGTACGGTTTGTCGTTGTTGCTGTTGTCATCTCTCGTAGCTTAGTGGTCAGAGCGTTGGCGCGTAAAGCCAAAGAGCCCGGGTTCGATTCCCGGCGGGGGTGTGACAACAGCAACAATTTTTCCTCATTAATTTGAGGTAGTGTGTAGTGGGTAAAAATTGATACTATTATTTAGTACACAACATCGGGCATGAAAGCATACATACGAGCTCTGTTCAAAAGGTATCGCTAATGTTCTGTTTCAGTTAATTTTTGACAGATGCTTTGCTTGCACCTGTTTTGGCTCGTCTTCGATTTTTGCCTATTCAAAAAAATTGATCAAAGAATTTGTATCAAATTTTGTGTGAAAAACAAAATTGAGTGTGCGAACACATTCCGAATTTTGACTGTGACATATAGTGAAGCTACCATGGACCAAAGCAACATTTATCAGTGGTACAAAATATTCTCAAAGGACCAAGAGGATGTAAACGATAAGAGTGTGGCGTACACTCTAGCACGTTAACAACAGATGAAAACATTGATGAAGTTAAGAAAATAGTATTGGCCAATCGTAGAATCACTGTTAGGGAAATTGCTGTGGACCTAAGCAAATCGATTGGCTCTCGCCAAAAACAGCAATGCATTAACATTGCTAAGAAGCTGTTGGACTCTGCCTTCGACAACCCAAATTTGCTCCAGAGGGTTATAATTGGTGACGAATTATGGGTTTATGGTTATAACGTGGAAAGCAAAGCTCAATCATCCCAGTGGAAGCTGCCGTACGAGCTAAGGCCGAAAAAAGCGGGCCAAGTTGGATCGAATGTAAAGGTTTTGCTTACAGTTTACTTCGATTGCAGGGACGTGGTGCATCGTGAGTTCTTGCCACAGGATAGATCGGTCAATAAGGAATATTACCTGCAAGTTATGCGCAATTTGTGCGAAGTCAGAAACGCCTGAATTGGTGATATAACAAAAATCGGCCTTTGCAATTGAATTTTTGGCAACACACTTATAATGCCGCAGCTACCATATTGTCCCAGATCTGGCTCGCTGTGACTTTTTGACAACTGAAAAAGCCCATGAAAGGACGACGCTACGCTACAATTGAGAAGATAAAGAAGCCATCGAAGGAGGAACGGAACAAGATCACAAAAAATGATTTTTTAAAGTGCTTCGAGGATTGAAAGAACATTGGCACAAGTGAATAATATCTGGTGGAGATTACATTGAAGGAGACAAAATAGATATTCATGCATAATGAAATAATTTTTGATAAAATAGAATTCGCCATACTTTTCGGACTCACCTCGTAGTTTCAAAAAATGCTCGTTTTTGTTCTTTAAACCAAGAGATAACACTTTAAAGGTACGGGATTGATTTGGAAGATTTTTCCACTATGGAAGAAAAAGATAGCCAGAAAGTGTGTAATTCCAATAAATCAAGGACGTATCAGACATGTCTAGGATAGTGCTCCGTAACTGCTCGTCAATATTGCCTTAACTACTCAAAAATCGATATAGTGGTGTAGTGAAGCGAGCTCTACTTGGAAGTGCTCGTCAGAAGTCATCCCCTAGAAATTCTTTTCTTATTCGAAATTGACAAGGACAGACATTTTATAAAAAAGGTATATATTTAAATTACGTACATATATAGTTATTGACTGTTTTAATGTCTATATGGAATATACTAGCTAATAGCTTCGTTTAAAGTTTTATTCAGAAATTTGCGACGACAATTTTGAAATTACAGAGAGATACTTGAATAGTACTTTTGAATGAAATTTTCCCGCAACTGAAGAACAAAAGTTTAAAGACTAAAAAAAATTTTGGAGATGAACCACTCATTGAAGTAAATAGACATGAGTACACTATATCTAAAAATTTATTCTCCTTCCTTTCTTCATCTTTTATGTATAAACCATTTGCGATAGCGGCTACTTGTTTAGAATTCAGTTTGTGACTATTAGAGTCATATTTCGTCAATTTGTCAATTAACCTTAAAACATAGATATATGTCGTTACCGGCTTTTTTATAGTTTTTTTTAGCTGAATAAATTTTCTATAGAAAGCATTCATGTATCTTTTACCGTCAAAGCGGAATAAATACTTTTGCTGGACCCATTCTTTTCCTGGATTCGTTGCAAAAATGATCTCGCTTTTATTTTGACGAAATAATATACAGCCTACATCTACTCTAAAGGCCAATTCTAAATACCGGCAATAGAATTGCACCTCCCTATATTATAGAAACAGAAAGGTGGACGGTTAGTTCGATACAATAAGGGTTTCTAGTTGGTTGCGGACTCAGTGATTCAGTTGGACAAATCCATACTTAAAAGAAAAACTTTTGCGTGTTCATTCCCACTAGCCACCAATGCTGGTGGGCGGCCACTTACTCCGAATTACGCCGGAAGGTAGGGCGGGAGGCCCTCTTCAGCCTTGTTTCAAAAATCGGGGGAATGGGTGGGTGGTGGTTCGGGTGAGAATGATGAGACGGACGAAATGAAGACAGAAGAGAATGAAAGATTATTTGTGCAATATTACTGCTCCAGCATTTGCCTGTGTGATCCAAGGAAACCACTGGGAAACTTGGACCAAGGCAGATGGACTCGGAATCGAACCGGCGTCCTCCCGAATGCTAAGCAATGATCTAAACCTCTAGGCCATAAAATCTATTATCTTATCTAGCACTTGAAATATTTCAGTTGGCACCAAATATTAGTAGAAGGCGATACAGTACCGCTAATATATATTATGTAAACATACTTATATGGACCATTCATCTTCAGTTCGACTGATTATTTATGAAGACTAACCGAGGCGTGTCAAAGAGATTAAATAAGATTGAAATCTCGATCTACGCCTGACAGCTTCGCTAAGTTACTAACCGATGACATAACCCGTTCTTATTAATAAGAAAGAACCTATGAATACTCTTAATTGCTAAAAAGAAAATGCAAATGCTGTTGAAAATAGGAATTACATCGAATAATATATAGTTGTGAGCGAATGCCGCAGGCAATCGATATAGACACCACCTTTGATGTGTCTGATAACTGGCCATGACTATCGCGAATCGTAAGTCATAACACCTTCAAAATAGCACAACAAAAAGGACAAACTTTATACACATACATTACGACCGCATAAGTAAGTGAACGGCATCCCATGAGAGAGAGTCAATACAAAGGAGTTCATACTGATGGTGTGATGATAGTTCTTTTGTTATGTTTAGTAACATAAATCTACATACAAGGATTATTAACCAATTGTCAGATAGATAACCGTATACCTAATTTAATATAATGTTAATTTTATTACGTAATTTATTGTGTTTCTGTATTAAATAAGATAACTTAGTTATATATGCACGAGACCTGTTTAAAGTGAGTTATAACATCAATGACTCCAAGATGCAAAATCAATAGTTACGGTAGCATGAGATAGCTCGTAAAAAGAATTACAGGTTTCCTCCATTTTACAACAGAACGTAAAAAGTGTAACATTGGTTTGCAGATAACAGGCAATAACAGTGGAATAAAAACATGTACCTGTATGTAAAAAACTGTCTTTGCTGAAATTCTTGTGATCCACGCATGTCGTTAAATAATTTGTCCACAATGAACAGTGAAGGTAAAAAATAAATAAATGCAAAAAGAAAAGGAACAGGGAGAGTCTGCTCTAGTAACAAAATTTCATACCAGAGAAATACATTATTAAAATTCTCCGAATAAAATTTTATGTTAAAATTCTTGTCCTTACATCTATTAGGTAGAAAAGCAAGGAAATATAAATATATATGTAGTAAAAATGAACGTAACAATAATTACTTCCTCATTACTTTATTCGGATTATTTTTACGAATTATTAAATGTGCTTGACCGAAAGAATTCTCATAACAACAGAAAACGCTTCGCAAAATATTTCATAACCGAAAGAATTCCAGTGTTTGCGTTCTTTGGAATTTGAGCTTTTAGGATCTATGGAAATAAATCCTTATTCGAAGTTCGATTGTCATTTCTTTTATTTATAAGTGACGTGTATCTTTTTACTGTTAGTTTTATTAAAAATATTGACTGAATATAGAATCATGATTCATATTTTAAAACCACTTCGACTGCGAAGTATTGCACATAAGGTAACTCACATATTGATTAATTATGCTTTTACAACTTTTAGTAAATTTTTGGTATTCTTTTATAAAACGTTATACTTTGACAGAATTGACAACACAATAGGTCTTTGGAACGTAAATGTAAGACGTATACGTAGTTGTATATTACGTAAATATTATTGTTATGTATACCTCATAAATATAGAGAATCCTTTTCATGTGAACGCTCGATAAGTAGTACAGTCTATTTCAATATGTTAGAATTGTGACCTTGAAGAAATCTGCGCGAAGATAGAAAGAATACACATTAGGCGTGAGCGAGACAGAAATAGTTGGAACAAGCTTTAACGAGCAGAGCTCTCGATGGGCGGTCTTAGGAGATCGGCTAGAACTGTACAGTACTAGACGAAATTGTTTAGCAATTTCTTAAAACAAAAGTGTATATAAATTGACAATAGAAAACAAGGCAAAAGTTTTATAGGTGTACAGAACGTTAAGTTAATTCACTTGTTATTATTTTTGGCTAAATATGCTTTTAAATAAAGCATATTCTTAAATTTTAACGAGGCAGTTTAAATAATTTTGCAAATGGTACTGTACACTTTTGTCTAGCTCTCGCTCTCGGTGATCGGTGGAGAAATGAGATCCACAGACAAATATGATTGAATTTGGAATTATGCTACGGCGCATCCTAATAAAGGGAGGGGGCATATCTCTAACTTCTTGAAACGAACAGTAATATGATTGAACTTCAGTGTCACCTACAAGAAGCTCAATTGTTAAAAACTATTTTTAATTCATTCTTGTATGGTTGCTACCGGTTTCTCTTAATCTCTGTACCGTAACTAAGTTGGTTTGTTGCTAAGGATGTCTTCGTTAATATTGTTCGCCTTTCATGACTTTCTTTATATATACATAGGTATCTTTTATGTCCACTTCTTCAAAATTATAGTTTTATGAGGTCACTTTTTGACTCATATTCAACGGGAGTGATCCCGATAAGAACCGCACATATTTCTCCTCACCCATAATTCATGTCACAACCATTTCTGCAATTGCAGGGCTAGAATTGTGTAGGGGACTAACTAACAACATGCTGAATCCAAATCGTTTCCCCGTTAAGTTTGAACCAACTGATATACTCTGACTGGGTATTGTTGGGTGACTGATCCTGAGATAGGAATTGATGACAATTGTTCAGGCTTATTTAGTCTAGTGCATTTCACAAAACTAAGCTGTATATCATTATAAATCGAAGTCTCTTCTTTCCTCACAATAGTAATTATTTTTCGCTGATTGTTGATGAATATGAAAATATTGACGCGGAAGTAGAAAAGAGCCGTAGTCAGAGAAGATGAACAATAATCAACTAAACATTATTTGTAACTCATAGATTAGGGCTACATGGGAAACCATGTAAAAGAAGCGCTATCTTGCATGATACGGAAACAAATGCAGTGCAATACCCCAGTTTTCTCAGCCCGATATCTCGATGCCTATTGGCTCCACATAAATATTGCATGCGACCTTTTTTATTCCGTAACCATTCAGAGGTTTCGTTCCATCTAAAAAAATTTCAATATTTCTAGCTTAGATCTATTCAACCACCGCTACGTAACCTACAAATTGGAGTAGATAAACAGAGTTGTCAGGTGACTGGTACAATATCGTCGGTCTATCCGTTGGTCGAACACTGTTTTGATGTGGTCATTGTGGGCGCTGGAGGTGGAGGCCTTCGAGCAGCAACGACCCTCGTAGAGGCCGGTTTTAGTACAGCAGTAATTTCCAAACTATTCCCTACCAGGTCGCATACCATTGCCGCCCAGGGTGGAGTCAATGCTGCAATAGGTATTGCATTGAGAATAAACTTTTTTAAGTTTTATTTGACAACAATCCAAAAATCACACGTTTATTTAAGGTACTGTAAGGAGTATATTTATAGATATTGTAGGATTCGTGGAATTACTGTCAGTAATTCTTTTTGTCAAAATTTTATGTTGCCGCAAACGATAACAATTCGTTCTTGACATAAGTCTTCCTTCGCACAGATTTCATGTCATTCGTCCTTCCTTACGTCAGGATATCACGACGCTAGCGACATCAAATAATATGTTTGCCTTCAAGTAGCTTCCATTTCAGAAATAACATCTCCAGAAGAAGAACAAATAGAATTTGGGTTACTTATACCCGTAGGAAAAATTTCCATTAAAGTTCAATGAGAATCAATAGACAATTTGTAAATTCTATTCAAAACCATTTGGCATAAATGGAAAAATAATTGTTTCCATTTAAAATAATTATAGTTATTAACATAAATTTATTCTGAATGTGTAGCTAAAAAAGCTTTCTCATCTCATGCCGAACAATTGAAATTGCAATAATTAGAATCGAAATTAGTGATGAGCAAAGAAAAACCGAGACCAAGACTGTTCGGGTCTTGACATTGGTGTTAATCGAAGAATATATTAATGTTGCTTCAATTAGTAAAACTCTTAAACCCCCCGGAAGTTATAATTTTTCGTTTAGTCTTACGCATTCGGTCTTTATCTAGCCTATTTGGAGTTGATTTTAGTCTTGGTTTTGTTCGTTCGGGCTTGGTATTGGTCTTGCTAGTATATAGACAGTCCTAGATTTTTGGAAAGCCAAAACCAAGAATTCAAATCCAAGGCCAATTTTATTCCAAAAAAGCTGAATGAAGTTTATTTCATTAAAAATATGTTGTGATACCGAATTTATGAATAAACTATCACCAAAATAGAAAAATTGTAAAATACTAGTAGCGTAATACTTTTAGCAAGCATGGAAGTAGATAAATGGGAATGGCACTTTTATGACACCGTTAAAGGATCTGACTGGCTTGGAGATCAGAATTCAATTCATTATATGACCCGCGAGGCGCCTGGTTGCATTAAACGACTTGAAAATTACGGAATGCCATTTTCAAGGACAAAAGATGGTAAAATTTGTTCTCACTTTTAAATTTTTGTATAGTATGTAAAGGAATAAGCTGAGAGCTTCGAAACGGTTTAATAAGTATTTACTTACGTATGTGTCTTATATATTACATTTAACGTATTTATTTTGACAATAATATAGGGGAAATCCCCCTAACGCCAGACAGCACGTAGTACCGGACAAAATGCGCCAAACTTGCAATAGGGATCATATTAGCATTTGTGCATACAAAGATGACTTAATGAACAAATCCCAAGAGGCTTGGGAGGCGTCAGTCTCGTCCAGTACGGCTTACAGGTGACACTTTGCGCAGAAATTCATTGCGTCGAGTAATATTCAGAACGTCATATTATTGTATAAAGTCTGTTCAAAAACTATCTCACGTTTTATCTTTTTTCTAAAATTATTTATCATGGTGAAAAAGCCAATTTTTGTTCTTCCATAAATCCGGGCGATTCTGGCGGATTGCTCCGCGCGAATTGCGCATCACTTGCAAGTAGGTAATATTATTTATCGATCGTTCTTCATTGTGGCAAGAACTCATGATGCACCACGCCCCTGCAATCGAAGAAAACTGTAAGCAGACCTTCTTATTCTACCTAACTTGGCGCGCTTTTTCGATCTTCGCTCATGCGGCAGCTTCGATTGGGATGATTGAGCTTCGATTTTCACGTCATAAGTATAAACCCAGGATTCGTCACCAGTTATGACCCTTTGGAGCAAATTTGTGTAGTCGCGGACAGAGTCCAACAGCTCCTTAGCAATGTTAATGCGATGCTGGTTTTGGTCGAAATTGAGTAATTATGGTACGAATTTTGCGGCAACCCGTCTCATGTCCAAATCATTGGTAAAAATCGAATGGCAGGAGCCAAACGATTTGTTTGGGTCCTCAGCAACTTCTCTAACGGTGCTTCGACGATTGGCCAATACTATTTTTTTCACTTCATCAATGTTTTCGTCTGTTGTTGACGTGCTCATCTTCTCGGCCAAATTTTAATGAAACCAAAAACTAACCTAATGATTGATTCGTTTTTAGTAGGTAAAACATGTATAGTATTTATCTTTGTTGATTTATTTCAATGTCTAATATGATTGTTTAAATGAAAAAGTTAAGTATTTCAATAAAATATAATTATTCAACTTACTGTTTATTAAAAACCTTAAGCGTCCGGTATTGGAGGGGACTTACTTACGTAGCCCTGTCTAAATACTTTCAAATCATCTATCATTGCATTTAATTTTTGTAGGTAGAATATATCAACGAGCTTTCGGAGGTCAATCTCTCAATGGAGGCAAAGGACCACAAGCTCACAGGACATGCGCAGTTGCTGACCGAACGGGTCACAGCATGCTTCATACCCTTTATGGCGTCGCTGTTAAATATAAATGTAAATTCTTCATTGAATATTTCGCGTTGGATTTAATAATGGGCAGTAATAGAGAATGTAACGGTGTCATGGCTTACTGCATGGAAGACGGCACTATTCACAGATTCAGAGCAAGAAATACGGTATTATACGAATTTCATTTATGTATCTTTAAAATTGAAATTACCGAATATATGCGGTCCAGTGGTCTAAGTCAATGATTCTGAAAAGGGAAGGGGGGTCGACACTGAATATATTTGATCTGAGTCATTAGTAGTATTTTGTTCAAAGATACACCAAGGATAAGTTAATTTTTACTCATTATCATAAAATCTTCAGTCGTAAGACTGTGGTTGGAGAAAAAACTTTTGGGTGTTTCATTCCCACCAGTCGGTAATGCTGGTGGGCGGGCAGTCCCTCCGGACTACGCCGGAAGCTAGGGCGGAAGGCCCTCTTCAGCCTGCTTTCAGGAATCGTGGGAATGGATTGGTGGTGGTTCGGGTGAGAAAGATGAGACGGACGAAATGAAGACAGGAGAGAATGAAAGATTATCTGTGGAATATTATTGCCTCAGCATTTGCCTAGGTGATCCAAGGAAACCACAGAAAAACTTGGACCAAGGCAGACGGACCCTGAATCGAGCCGGCGTCCTCCCGAATGTTAAGCAATGGTCTAAACAATGGTTGGAGACGCACCTCCACTCTTTCCTATCCTGAGTTAATCTACGCATTACTAGAACATTCTGTAGCCACACTGTCGTAGTAATGAGATGTGACTAACAAAAGTTGTGGTTCTGAGAAGAACCGTTTTCCAACGAGGTTGAACACATTGCTGTGTCTATGATGGGCAGCAGCACTGATGCAGCATCCGATGGTTGATACACTTGCGGTATTCAGGGGTTGATACTGTTGTAGTATCCAATAATAGCGAGCCTGGTGTTAGACTAATTTATTTGACTATTTACTCGCTATTTATACAAAACTATTTACATTGGTTTAAATGGCAAAGAACATTTCAGCAATTTACATTTGTGTGTGTAATTGCCTTTGACCTAGTTAGTCGCACTGTGTCGCGACCTAAGTCAACACAAACGAAGACGCTTAATTGATAGACATTAGAATTGTTTCTTGCTATACCGAGTGTTCCCACAGGACCCCCCTTCCAGTGAGGAACGATGTGGATTAAGTTGCTCGCATATAGCTTGGGAAATGTACTCGACAACCGGACCGGATTGCAGTATGTGCTGGTCGATCGTCCATTTCCTTCGTTGTAGGTATAGGTTGAGGATGCTGTTCGTCTCTCACGATATATGCTAGTTTCTTAATAGATAATGCTTTGCTTGTGCCGGGAATTGTTTCTTGCTGTACCAAATGTTCCCACAATCCCACATCCTTAACTATTTGCGAACAGTAATCTAATTTAGGTCTACCTCTGCTAATCTTTCTGCCTCTAATATGTCTCTGACCAGCTCTTTATGCCTGAGAAGGTGTCCTACCAACCTAGCTCGCCCATTTGTTATTGACTTCCATAGAGTCCCCTGTTCTCTTATTCATTCTAATACCTCTTCATTTCTCTATTCAAAAATAAATCTGCTATTAATCAAAATTGTGTTGAAATTGAACAAAAGAACTGAACACTTAAATTTTTACCAACCCCTCTTCGGAATGTCCTTCTCTCTATGCATATTTGTTCTTTTATAGGGGGATTCTTTGAAATTTTTAAGTGTAGAATGGAGTCGAGAACTAAAAGGTTTGAAGAACACTGGTCTACATTATATTATAGGACTCAAGAGGACATACCGATTGGGTTTCCAGTCCGTCTGAACCACTTATTTTTGTAGTATCGATGGATCATTCAGACAAATCTGGGATAGTAGTATTCTACAGACAATCTTCCACTTTTCTTGAGTCTTCACTTCATCCGTCTTATTCTTCTCATTCCTACTGACACCTACCGCTCAGTATCCGCCATTCCCCGATTCCTGAAGGGAGGCTAAAGGAGGCCTTCGGCCCTAGCTTCCGTCACAAATCAGAATTTGAAACGCACCAACGTTCTTCGTTAATGTAAAGTGCCATAAGTTGAAGAAAATCAACAATTGTGATTTCGATAAGCTTTTGTTCAAGACCACAGTCACAGGCCAATAAAATATCAACAAAGGTGACTGGCGGTGACAAATGCCAAGATAGCCGACAACAGCTAACAGCTAAATTGAGGAGGGAGTAAAACCGATTAAAATAAGAAAATATAACGGATTTTGATTCGGTCTTCCCGTAGCTATTCTACTTCCTGCCACCACTAGATACCATTAGTTTCGATCCTTGGTTGCTAGTAAAATAATTTTGTTTTCTTCATGTAATGCGGTGTTAAGCTTCCCCCTTATTTCATACATTTTATTGTTCAAGGTCCTAGCGACCGGAGGATGGGGCAGGGCATACTTTTCATGTACCACGGCTCATACTTCCACTGGCGATGGTAATGCAATGGTTTCACGTGCTGGATTACAAAATCAAGACATGGAATTCGTACAGTTTCATCCAACTGGTATGTATGGTTCTGGGTGCTTAGTGACCGAAGGTGCCAGAGGAGAGGGCGGCTACTTGGTTAATTCCAATGGGGAAAGATTTATGCCTAAGTATGCACCCAATGCATTGGACTTGGCATCAAGAGATGTAGTGTCAAGGGCTATGACCATCGAAATAAGGGAAGGTAAGACAGGAATAACAGATCGATTCCTATAAATTTTTACGAATATTTTGAAGAGAAACCTTAAATTTGTCAGAAATGTAAGACTTAAAATAGGATGCACTTGTAACAAATCGAATATATAAACAAGATACCTGTATTGTAAGTATCTAATCAAAATTTTCTAGTTTATTTATTTAAACGGTAATTTATTTACTAATTAAACACTTAATGTACTACTTATTTATATCACTCTGTATCACTACGTTTTCGCACTTGTATATGTCTCAATTCCGGCTGACACGCAAAGGCCTATGTATATATATGCGTATATATTAAAGCAAGTTTAAGTCATAAAACTTTACATACGTAATTTTTGATCATATCAATTAACAAAAATTCTTTCTAAAACAAGGCTTAAACTCACATAAACTAACACAAACAACTCGGTAATATCTTTTTCTAAACTAAATACATAGCTAAATTTAAATTTACCCTTAACTTTCATTATACCCTCCCCCTAATGCCTCAATATTTTCATTCCCTCTTTACTTGTATTTCTTTAAACCGCCCTCCTCTTCCTAACTATATTCCTTAAAAGGATCAGTCCATTTCCACTTTCATTCATAACACTCTTATATTACTCTAGCTCTTTACTTTCATCACAATCTCCTTCCTTTCACATATCCTGCACATCCTTTCTTTCTCTTCCAGCCAACACTTGCACTCTCTACTTACATTTCCTACTTTGAACTTTACTATTACATCTATATCTTTTCCCTTATTCAAATATTTCAGTTTCCAATCTTCCTACTAATGCTCCTATAACAAGTCTTTGATACATTCAACATATCTGTAGTTTCCAATTCTCCTCAAAACCTCCGCCCATATGATTTCTTACGCTTACCACACCTTCCTATTCTATTCCACTCATTCAGTTGCTCCTGATTTAACTTTAGCACTCTTAACGCTTCTCCCCATTCCCTATCAAAGACCTACGTATATAGTCAACGAATTTCTCCAGAATTCTTCTAGTATTTAGAAATACCAGCCTGCTTTATTAGATAATTGGGGAACGTAAGAATAGCAGAGAACTATTACAGGGTGAGTGAAGACTACAAGCCGTCTTACCACCCTGCATCTTCCTAACCTTGAATTCGACTCGCGACTTCTCACTTCTTGACTCTACTTCTTTATTATCATTATTGTATTCGCGATTTAGACGGCTGCTTACTGGCCCTTTAACACAGTAGATATGTAGCAGTTTTAAATAAACAATTTAGATGTACCAACTTTGTACTAGTGACTTGAATATGAATTTATGGACTAGGATAAAAGTCATTCATACATGTGCAGATGAGATATGAAGAATTAGCATAGGGTGACATAAACATTGAGCCAGAAGTATTAGTTTAAACATATAAATAAATAACCGCCTTCATAATCATCCGTTTAAATAAATAAATAAATTACAAATAAATTCGTTACACTACTTACTTATATTTACTACAAATTACAATATTTTATTTATTTATTTATTATTATTTATTATCAAACAAAGATAGAAATATTGGTATACACTCGTCATCTTGCTCTATTACACTATCCACAGATCAGAATTTGATGATTTATATAAAAGCTATTTTTCTTATACTTTAATGGATACATTTTGGAATTCTAGGAAGAGGTGTGGGAAAAAATAAAGACCACATTTTTTTGCAACTCCACCATCTTCCGGCTGATTTGCTCCATTCGAAACTGCCTGGTATTAGTGAATCGGCAAAAATATTTACTGGAGTTGACTGCACGAAAGAGCCTATTCCTGTTATTCCTACAGTTCATTATAACATGGGAGGTATTCCTGCCAACTGGAAAGGGGAGGTAGGTATTGGAGGTCATTCTAAATGACATGAACCTTCATTGATGTCTATATTTCTACCTCTTAAAAGCATTGATAGTCACTAATTTTAGTCTCTCTTATGATCTCCATTCCAAATTGTACAGCGAGGCACATGGTTAAAATCAATAGAATATACAGCCGAGTTAATGTTTTCTAATAAAATAATTCGAAGAGGTCTGTATTCTGTCGAAACTGTCTCATCAACGCGTCGCAGGCAGCTCCAACAGACCAACTTTTGCCTGCTGTCTTAACAGTGCGTTTTAGAAAATACTACAAATGGCGCAGTAAACGCCATCTGTAGCACGATGCTACATTTTAGGATTACGTATGCTCCAGCAAGGTCCACTTGTGTGGATATCTACTTGCTGAAAACGAATCCCGGCGTAGCCAACCTCAACGTGATAAGCACGTTACCATAATCGAATAAAATAATTCGAAGTGGTCTGGATTCTATCGAAACTGCCAGACGCGGATCACGATTTCGATCTTTTTGGATCTCATCAGCGAGTCGCAGAATACAGACCTCTTCGAATTATTTTATTCGATTAAGCTAACGTGCCTATCACGTTGAGGTTGGCTACGCCGGAATTCGTTTTCAACAAGTAGATATCCACACAAGTGGACCTTGCTGGAGCATACGTAATCCTAAAATGTAGCATCGTGCTACAGTTGGCGTTTACTGCCATTTGTAGTATTTTCTAATGTTTTCTAATATACATTATGAATGCGGTAAGGCCTGTCTCTGGCACATATGAAAGTTCATATTATATATACTATCTAGATTAAACACTAAATCCCCCTTAACCTATTAAAAACCAGAACAACCCACATTCTTAACTATTTGCGAACTAATCTAAGTCTACTTCTACTCCTCGTAACTCCCGTTTCTGCCTCTAATATTTCTCTGGCTAGACTAGACCTTCATGCCTGAAAAGGTGTCCTACCAACCTATCTCGCCTATTTCTGTTTGACTTCCATAGAGTCCTCTGTTCTCCTATTCTTTCTAATACCTCTTCATTTCTAACCTTCTCTATCCACGGTATCCTCCTCATTCTCCTGTAGCACCGCATATCGAACGCTTCTAACATTTTCTTTCCCGCCGTAGACTTTTCGCATAACTAAATGTTCTCTAAAATACCAACGTTTTGACGCGATAATACACTCTTGACGTTTAAGAGAGAATGAGTGCCAATCACGACGATTAAACTAGAAGCTCCTTATATCTGCTGTCTAGGTAAAACAGGGAATGATCTTCGCTTTTTTACTGATTTTGAGTGGCATGGTCAATTATTATAGCGTAAGATTAGGGAAGACGCCGACTCAATTCTATATCTGTCTTGGCTGGTCCAAGATTTTCTGTGCTTTGTGTTGATCATTGAGGCCAATGCTCCGGCGACAGATACTCTTTCACTTCTTTTCTGTCTTTATTTTATCAGTTTGATTCCCCCCAAACCACCACCCACCCATTCCGACAATTTTTAAAAGAAGGCTCCGTCCTGCTTAGCCACTAAGGTGTAATTCAAGAGGACTGCCCGGCCACCAGCGTTAGGGTGTCTTTATTACTTAACAGCTTCTTTAGAGACTGTAGTTGGTTTTTCAAATCATTCATCATTAATCTTCGATGCTTGAAATTTTATTAAAGAAAGCCTCAATTCAAATGGGTTATTGTGACATTAATTCTCCTAGTGTTAGTTGAAGCACGATTTTTCACATCAATTACCAAGTGACTATTTGGACTCTACATTATTCACCATTAAATGTGAACTCGCTCTGAGAATATATGCCCCCCCCCTCACAAGTCTGCCTTTTCCACATATAGGTGCTGCATAATATCGATGGCGAAGTAGAAGCAGTAAGAGGTCTCTACGCTTGTGGAGAATGTTCAGCCTGTGGAGTACATGGAGCAAACCGTTTGGGGGCAAACTCTCTGCTAGAAATTGCAATTTTCGGCGACTCTTGCGCGAAAACGATAGTTGCAAACTACAAACCCGGAGAAGGCATTCCAGATATGAAAGAAGTAAGCATGATTAATCCTTTTCAGGAAGTGAAACTTGCCTCGGCTTTTTCTAGATTTTTCCAAAATGCTCATTAGGTGCACAATGACCATCTAACTTCAAGTTTGTATATACAATTTTTTTAAATAAAAATTCCCGCCATACAGGTGAGGGTTTTGAACTGAAAAACTTAAAATTATAAAAAATCCAAAACCTTTAATTTGGATTTAGTTTTTATTTGGTTACGTTTTCTAGGATGATGGTGCCATGGCCATTGCCAACTTGGATTGGGTGCGTAAATCAAACGGATCCTGTACCGTCGCCAAAATACATTTAGATTTGCAAAAGACGATGCACGAATATGCAGCCGTGTTTAGAACTGGTGATATACTTGCAGAAGGTGTGAAGAAGATGAAGGAAATTTGGAAGAATCAAAAGGAGATGCGAATTGCGGATCGCGGGATGATATTCAATATGAATATGATGGAAGGTCTCGAAGTACTCAACTTATATACTTGTGCTATGCAGTGCATCGTAGGAGCTTTAAATCGAAAGGAATCACGAGGTTAGTTAAGCTTAGGACTAGCTGTAGAGAATTAAGAATAGAACACGCGAGATTCGGTGGCAAAAGATACCTCAGAGATTGTTACTCTCTTGGTTATTTTGTTCTGTTTTTTAAGTAGTAATCTTCTAAAAAAGGTAAAAAATTTCATTCTTGAGTTTTTGGAATTGGGATTTCTTAAACATTTTGATGTATTGAGGTATCTTTAAGCCCAGATTTCGTATCAAAAAATTTGAGAAACACTGATTTGGACGGACCTAACCTAACTTTTATGTTGTTGGTATCATCCTCTCATACGATTACAGGTTCGCATGCTCGAGAAGATTATAAAGACAGGGTGGATGAATTTGACTACTCAAAACCTGTAGAAGGACAAACGAGGAAAACATTCGAACAGCATTTTCGAAAACATACAATGTCATTAATCAATGTTGCTACCGGAGAGGTTACTTTGTCCTATAGACCTGTTATCGACGATACTTTAGACGACAATGAAGTAAAAACAATACCGCCTGTAATAAGAAAATATTGATCATTTTTAATTTACTAGCAACTTTTTTTATTTATTAATTACTTAATTTGATATTTATTTATATATTTGTTTATGTTCTTCTTNCTGCCGAACGCGGAGGCCGATTGTGCCTCTTTGTCGCTCGTTCCGCGCTCTCGCTTGCACTTCAAGCCTTAAATGGAACGCCTCAGAGCGAGGTAACGCCGCATGAGTCATGTTTTTTCGAGCATGCAGCCGGCTCCATCGAATTATAAGACGTTGTTACGTCAAAAATACAAGTTATCGACTTTCTAATTAGATCATACTCTCCTCCTTCTTAACCCGCCCTCCACTTAAAATAGCTGTTTATTTTTATTTAATTTAACTCTAAGTTGTACTTCTGAAGATGGCATAAGAAGGCGAAACAATTATAAAGTTATAGAAAGAAATATTATATTGTGGAAATTAATATCGGTTCATGTTAATTCTCCATGATATATCGGGAACAAAAGATAATATCGATTTCGTTTAGGTATCGATTGGAGCATATTAACAGTCATCATTATAAGGTCGTCAGTCCTAAGATTGGTGAAACACTCACCTACACTCCTGCCTATCCTGAGCTAATTTTTGCATTTCCCTAAAACTAGAACAACCCAAATCCTTAACTATTTGTGAAGAGTAATTTAATCTAGGTCTACCTCTACCCCTCCTAACTCCCGTTTCTGCCTCTAATATGTCTCTGACTAGACCTTCATGTCTGAGGAGGTGTCCTACTAACCTAACTCTCTTATTTCTTATTGACTTCCATAGAGTCCTCTGTTCTCCTATTATTTCTAATACCACCTTCTCTATTCACGGCATCCTCATCATTCGCCTGTAACACATTTCGAAAGTTTCTAACTTTTTCTTCTCCGCCGCGCCCACTGTCCATGTTTCGCACCCGTAAAGCGCCGCTCTCCAAACATACACCTTTAACAATATTAACAGTAATAGGATTTAATAGATGAAAAAGCAAATTAAATTATTTTGTTACTCTGTATCTGTTGAGAAGTTGGTCATGTATACTTTTAGAACTGCACATTGTTATATATAGATTTAACTGAAAGTGTCTATATTTTAGTTCAACGCATTTGTTGTTTTAATATCAATAATTATTTGAATGTTTCAAAGTAAATAAAAAATTAGGAGCGGCAATAATAAAGGTTTTTAATTTCTCCACAATTTTTATTTGAAACTTTTCTTTCCAAAAACCATACCTTGCCTTTTAGGTCTAAAAACCTGATTTTTGCCAACTTTGGACCTCCCCATTTGTTAACGCACATATCTTCGAAGTATAAAAATATACAGGAATGTTTAACTTTAACTCGGCTACAAGCAACAGCTACTGTCCGGTAACAAGTTTATGTCGGGAAAGTTCTCTACCGAACTTATTTGTAGAATAGTTATTGGTACCGGAAACACCAGTAAGCATACAGGAATACGCACATTAAAAGAAATGTTCGAAATTATAGCCGCGTCCTAGAAGACAGACTTGCAGACGTCTATAAAAATTATTTCCCACTCGGGCCTTCACCCTGCTTTCACACAGACGGTTTTCTAACGGCAACCATGCCGTTCCGTGCCGCAATTTCATTTTGTTTGTTTTGATACGTGACCAAAATAGACGAAAAAAAAAAACGGATGTTGTTACTAATGATATGGCATAATCGCTGAAAAACACAAAAAACAAGAAGATTTTGGATTCATCCACTACTTGAAAATAGACGATTGATGGGTGAATTTGTAACATTATTTCATGAGCTACGAGAAGATAGCTCCAAATTTTTTAATTATTTACAAAATGTTTANACAGTAATAGGATTTAATAGATGAAAAAGCAAATTAAATTATTTTGTTACTCTGTATCTGTTGAGAAGTTGGTCATGTATACTTTTAGAACTGCACATTGTTATATATAGATTTAAATCAGTGATAAAAAGTGAATCAATTTTTTCTCGTCTATTTGCTTGGTTTCGGCTTTGAAGCGAGGTCAAGAAAAATCGTTCTGTATTTACTAACGGAAAATAACTAAAAAAAATACCTTTCTAATGGTCCAAAATTCTTTGAAGTATTTTTTTTAATATATAGTTACTTAATAATTATTTTTTCTATTTAAGATTCCACCTAAATAAAGGCTAAATAATAAAATCGTCGTATGTACATAGGTATATGTGCTAAGCGACAAGGGGACCCAGTGTTAGAAGGTACGCAATTCAGCTAATAGCAACACGTTGTGGTTATTACTATTCTGCCGTACCAGGTCGTGTCGTGTTACAACATAAAATCACGCAGGTTGTAATAATAACTTGAATAATTAGTGATTACAATGATTTACGTAGAACGTACCAAGTAGAGTTTATTATACTATTTCTAGTCAGGGAAAGTATTTAACATTATAGAAAGGGGAATTAATAGTTTCGTTTCTTGCTTATTAAATTCGAAAAAATGTTAACGACTATTTGCCTGACTATTCTCACATCCACGATCAACTTTATTTCATGAACTTATTAACCTTGTGGCTCACAGTCGGTTTTGAAGGCTATTTGTTACATACAATGGGGATCAATTCGAATTATTTTACTTCTTACAGAAGTCAAATGGAAATAGGTTGAGGTGTGGATATACAAAATCCAATAAGAAAAACCTGACAGAAATAGAACAAAGAAATTCGAAGTGGTCACTGTTTTTGCTGGATCTCATAAGCGTGTCGCAGAGTTTCGACAGGACACAGACCTACTCTATCTGCTGCCTTAACATAGCGCGTTTTATGAAATACTGCAAGTGGCACGGTAAACGCCATCTGTAGTACAATGCTACATTTAGTGGAATTTATTATGCTAAACTAGGTCCATTTAGATAGATGGATATCTATTTGCTGAACTGAATCCACACGTAGCTCACTACTACGTAATAGACACGTTACCAGAATCAAGGAAATTATAAATGGTCAGTGTGTTCTATCGAAACTGCCAGACGCGGATCGCGATTTCGATTTTGTCGGATATCACCAGCGCGTCGCAGACAGTTTTGACAGTACACAAACTACTCTATCTGCTGCCTTAACACAGCGCGTTTTATGAAATTCTGCCAATGGCGCGTTAAACGCCATCTGTAGTACAATGCTACATTTAGTGCAATTAATTTACCATGGACCTAAATGTAGTGTTGTACTACAGATGGCGTTTACTGCGCCATTTGTAGGATCTCATTGACTGAAATAGCTTGGCATTTGGATGTTTCACGCCCTCCGATGCGCAGTGGATGCAATTGCTTTTGTGGTTGGGAAAGTCAGTTCGGTTCTGATGCTTTCATATAGATATGCTGGTAAAACGTAAACTCGCCTGTTACTGTCAGAAAATAAAAACACCAGAAACTTCAACTACATTAATACTTGCCTGCAATTAAAAAGGCCCCACTTTTACTTTTATTGAGTTTAATAAAACATCTTCCACATTCTTTAAGCAAACGTTTTGATAATTTCTGTATAAGGCAAATTTTTAAAAGAAATTTGATAAATGTAGAAATTTATACCTAATACTGGTTAAGTTTTTAAGAGAAGTTGAAAAAGGTAGGTTATACTTAATATTGTTCAGTTATTTAAATTCTGTATAACTAAGCCATTGTTATTTTTTATCCTTCTTAAAAAACTTTTTTGTTGAATCTCTGGTTTTTCTAATTCTAATTAAATTTTGAACTGACAAGATTCCATTGTTAAAGAACTGTCACGTAATAAAGCACCTTCCTCACTACTAACTAAATTTATTTAATTATTTGCTTTCTAATTAATACCACTATGTTTAATTAATATCTATTTTTCTACTGCGTCACACACTTTGTCACTTCATCGCTCTTTCTGCTTCGTTTTGTATTAATTAACTCTAGCAACCTCGCGGCAGCTATTTATACCTTGTACTAGGAAGATCCAGAATGTGACGTATAGAAAATCTAATCTTCTATATCACTATGCATGTTGGGTTGCATACATGTGACACTGTATGTTGGGTTGCCTACGTACATGTATACGTTAGTTTTAAAAAATCGGTTGTCTGTAAAGTCGGTTTACTGACGATAGTTGAACGTGACAACGTCATAACAAAATACTGATGGAATGGTTTCATTTTTCAAAAGAAAATTTTATTTTTATTTGTTTGATAGATATTTTGTATGGATATAGAGGAGGTAAATGGAAATGTATTATTGTATAGCAGCTGTCCACACGGACGCATCGCTCACTCAAGTAGGAGAGAGACAGATGTCGAACGCTGCCGAACGCGGAGGCCGATTGTGCCTCTTTGTCCCTCGTTCCGCGCTCTCGCTTGCACTTCAAGCCTTAAATGGAACGCCTCAGAGCGAGGTAACGCCGCATGAGTCATGTTTTTTCGTGCATGCAGCCGGCTCCATAGAATTATAAGACGTTGTCACGTCAAAAAACTGTCATTCATAAGCAAGGTTTTTTGGAGAAACAAATGTAATTAATTACCAGAAGAAGTGTACCCGTTTTGCCAATATCAATTAGTATATAACGAAGAAAAGTACCCAAGAACATTTGAACAGGTAATAGGTATACATGTCTATATTACTATTTGACAACTGTTTTGACCTAGTCGGCAATTTTCAAGAGTGTTTACAAACATCTATAAATCACAAAATGGAAATATTCTCTAACGTTCATTTGTGTAATCCACAACGCCCATTAGTTCTTAAAGTCAACTTTTTGGAGAAGAGACGTTCAACGCTTTTATATAAAACATCCTTTTACATGGTCCATGGTTTCTGATCGGCCAGTTCTGAGAGCTTTAGTATACGCACTATACAGTTGCATGTTGAAGGTAACAATTGAGCTAAATTTATCTTTCTTCAGTGTACTGCGCGATGCGCGTTTCTATTGCTAACTTCCGTCCGTTTATTCGAGTATTTCCTCAACTTATGCGCGTCTCCTACAGCTCGTTCCGAGTATACGCCGCTTGTATCACAAAGAGCAGTTTAACCCACTTAAAGCATAACGAGCTA